TTTGTCCTCTTGCTCAGTTGTGCACCGGGGCCTCCCACTCCTCTTTCTATTCTGGTTAGAGCCAGTTTGCGCTGTTTTGTGAAGGGAGTAGTACACAGCGTTGTATGAGATCTTCTGTTTCTTGCCAATTTCTCGCATGGAATAGCCTTCATTACTCAGAACAAGAATAGACTGACGAGTTTCAGAAGAAAGTAATTTGTTTCTGGCCATTTTGAGCCTGTAATTGAACCCATAATTGCTGATGCTCCAGATACTCAACTAGTCTCAAGAAGGCCAGTTTTATTGCTTCTTTAATCAGCACAACAGTTTTCAGCTGTGCTAACATAATTGCAAAAGGGTTTTCTAATGATCAATTAGCCTTTTAAATTAATGATCAACTTGGATTAGCAAACACAACGTGCCATTGGAACACAGGACTGATGGTTGCTGATAGTGGGACTCTGTACGCCAACGTAGATATTCCATTAAAAATCAGCCGTTTCTAGCTTCAATAGCCATTTACAATATTAACAATGTCTACACTGTATTTCTGATCAATTTGATGTTATTTTAATGGACAAAAAAATTGCTTTTCTTTCGAAAAAAAATGACTTTTCTAAGTGACCCCACATTTTTGAACGGTAGTGTATATTTGGATTTGTTTAACACTGTTTTGGTTACTACATGATTTCATATGTGTTATTTCATAGTTTTGATGTCTTCACTATTATTCTACAATTTAGAAAATAGTAAAAATTAAGAAATACCCTTGAATGAGTAGGCGTGTCCAAACTTTTGACTGGTACTGTATTTTCAATAAATGTGCAAAAATTAGATATTTCTGTATTTCATTTTCATGAAATTTGCAAACATTTCTAAAAACATGTTTTCACTTTGTCATTATGGGGTATTGTGCGTAGATGGGGAAGAAAAAATATATTTAATCAATTTTGAATTCAGGCTTTAACACAACAAAATCAAGGGGTATGAATATTTTCTGAAGAGCTCTGCTTCTTGCCAGGCGAGAAGGCTTCCATGAACCCCTCCTGGTATAACAATTAAAGCGCAACTGAAGGTAATAAACAACTTATCTGATACAAAATGTCCTATGTGGCATCGATAGTAGAAAGATTCTAGTGTCAAAATCTACTCAAGTGTAAATAGCATAATTTTTGTCAAAGTCAGCCTTGTACAAAACTGAGTTTTGTAAGTGAGTTCATCATGACTTGAGGGTTGGGTTTTGATTTCGACAATGCTAAAACAAAAATCCAGAAAATCACATTGTATGATTTTTAAGTAATTAATTTGCATTTTATTGCATGACATAAGTATTTGATACATCAGAAAAGCAGAACTTAATATTTGGTACAGAAACCTTTGTTTGCAATTACAGAGATCATACGTTTCCTGTAGGTCTTGACCAGGTTTGCACACACTGCAGCAGGGACTTTGGCCCACTCCTCCATACAGACCTTCTCCCGATCCTTCAGGTTTCGGGGCTGTCGCTGGGCAATACGGACTTTCAGCTCCCTCCAAAGATTTTCTATTGGGTTCAGGTCTGGAGACTGGCTAGGCCACTCCAGGACCTTGAGATGCTTCTTACGGAGCCACTCCTTAGTTGCCCTGGCTGTGTGTTTCGGGTCGTTGTCATGCTGGAAGACCCATCACGACCCATCTTCAATGCTCTTACTGAGGGAAGGAGGTTGTTGGCCAAGATCTCGCGATACATGGCCTCATCCATCCTCCCCTCAATACAGTGCAGTCGTCCTGTCCCCTTTGCAGAAAAGCATCCCCAAAGAATGATGTTTCCACCTCCATGCTTCACGGTTGGGATGGTGTTCTTGGGGTTGTACTCATCCTTCTTGGTCCTCTGTAGCTCAGCTGGTAGAGCACGGCGCTTGTAACGCCAAGGTAGTGGGTTCGATCCCCGGGACCACCCATACACAAAAAAAAATGTATGCACGCATGACTGTAAGTCGCTTTGGATAAAAGCGTCTGCTAAATGGCATATTTTTTTTTTTTTATATTTCTTCTTCCTCCAAACACGGCGAGTGGAGTTTAAACCAAAAAGCTCTATTTTTGTCTCATCAGACCACATGACCTTCTCCCATTCCTCCTCTGGATCATCCAGATGGTCATTGGCAAACTTCAGACGAGCCTGGACATGCGCTGGCTTGAGCAGGGGGACCTTGCGTGCGCTGCAGGATTTTAATCCATGACGGCGTAGTGTGTTACTAATGGTTTTCTTTGAGACTGTGGTCCCAGCTCTCTTCAGGTCATTGACCAGGTCCTGCCGTGTAGTTCTGGGCTGATCCCTCACCTTCCTCATGATCATTGATGCCCCACGAGGTGAGATCTTGCATGGAGCCCCAGACCGAGGGTGATTGACCGTCATCTTGAACTTCTTCCATTTTCTAATAATTGCGCCAACAGTTGTTGCCTTCTCACCAAGCTGCTTGCCTATTGTCCTGTAGCCCATCCCAGCCTTGTGCATGTCTACAATTTTATCCCTGATGTCCTTACACAGCTCTCTGGTCTTGGCCATTGTGGAGAGGTTGGAGTCTGTTTGATTGAGTGTGTGGACAGGTGTCTTTTATACAGGTAACGAGTTCAAACAAGTGCAGTTAATACAGGTAATGAGTGGAGAACAGGAGGGCTTCTTAAAGAAAAAATAACAGGTCTGTGAGAGACGGAATTCTTACTGGTTGGTAGGTGATCAAATACTTATGTCATGCAATAAAATGCAAATTAATTACTTAAAAATCATACAATGTGATTTTCTGGATTTTTGTTTTAGATTCCGTCTCTCACAGTTGAAGTGTACCTATGATAAAAATTACTGACCTCTACATGCTTTGTAAGTATGAAAACCTGCAAAATCGGCAGTGTATCAAATACTTGTTCTCCCCACTGTAGGTGTTCCTTTTTCTCCAGGTGGGAAAGGGCAGTGTGGAGTGCGATCGAGATTGCGTCATCTGTGGATCTGCTGGGGCGGTATGCGAATTGGAGTGGGTCTAGGGTTCTGGCATGATGGTGTTGATGTGAGCCATGACCAGCCTTTCAAAGCACTTCATGGCTACCGATGTGAGTGCTACGGGGCGGTAATCATTTAGGCAGGTTACCTTCGCTTTCTTGGGCACAGGGACTATGGTGGTCTGTTTGAAACATGTAGGTATTACAGACTCGGTCAGGGAGAGGTTGAAAATGTTAGTGAAGATACTTGCCAGTTGGACCGCGCATGCTTTGAGTACACGTCCTGGTAATCCGTCTGGCCCCTCGGCTTTGTGAATGTTGACCTGTTTAAAGGTCTTGCTCACATCGGCTACGGAGAGCGTGATCACACAGTCGTCCAAAACAGCTGGTGCTCTCATGCATGCTTCAGTGTTGCTTGCCTCGAAGCGAGCATTAAAGGCATTTAGCTCGTCTGGTAGGCTTGCGTCACTGGGCAGCTCGCAGCTGGGATTCCCTTTGTAGTCCGTAATAGTTTTCAAGCCCTGCCACATCCGACGAGCGTCAGAGCCGGTGTAGTAGGATTCAATCTTAGTCCTATGTTGACGCTTTGCCTGTTTGATGGTTCGTCTGAGGGCATAGCGGGATTTCTTATAAGTGTCCGGATTAGTGTCCTTCTCCGTAAAAGCGGCAGCTAAGGAAATGTTTTGTCTAATATACTACTTGATTAGGAGAGCAGAAATCCAGCAGAGGTAAAAGGTAATACCAGGGAACTGTGGGACATTTATACTGTTCCCTCAGCGCTGTCATTCAACCGGACAGATTGTGAATACAATTAGCTATCCCTATAATAAATCCTATGAAATATTCTCAAGGGCACACAGAGAATTGTCAAGAGAAGTCTTATTCATCTTGAAGGAATGTGTTATATCAAACTTGTGTGATCAAATGCATATTGGCTTTAGAATATGCCTGTGATGCATTTATTTGCAATCCCCATGCAGTCTTTTTTTTCTATTAAGTTTAAATTACACTGTTGCAATTGAAACACAGAAATAACAAAAATAAAAAACTGATTTGTCATGCATCTCCTCAATAAAACCATACTGTTGAAACTGGTTTAATGTGCATGCTACTTAAAAGCAATATAATACATGAATTAGTCTTCTGTAAACAATCAAGCCCTTACTAAACCCACGTGACAACATGACAGGTATCTCAACTATATCTCTTTATACTGAAGACCGTTGAAAAACATTTGAGACTTTATGGGAGCATGCAAATAATTCCTAAATATGATACATTTTGTTTAGCAATGAAAATGTAAGTGATGCTGAAAACTTTTGTCATTGTAAAAACTATCAATTCCAAATCAGTTTACGCAGGAATAACAAGATATCAGTTTTCAGAAAGCACTTGAAGCGAAATACTATACATTTTGGAGTTGTACTACAAAGGCACACAACATTTGTTTAGCATATGTATTTACTTACTGTTGATGGAAATTCCCTCTATTTCTTTAAGGATGTCATGCGTATATTCTGTCACATTTTCTATTTCTATGAAAGCTGTCATTTCCATCTCCCATATACTTCCATATTGCCTGTGCTATACATTCATAGGGAGTGGGATTTTGATGGTATAGCTAGTACACTGAATGGTACAACAACACATTGAAGAAGAAAGTTAAGAAGACAATTACAATCTAATTGTGTCTCCTGAAACATTTGAACAGAATAAGATATTCAAGCTTCACTGATTACATATGAATAAGCTATTTTACAAAGCTGGGTATTGTTTATTATTAGATAAGCTTATAAATGATGTGTTCCACCTGAATATTAATATCCGGATGAAAAACACTTTCATCTACACAGAAGAATCATTTGAATATCCCACAAAACAATTAGTATGTTTGTGGGAAATCTATTTTGAGTCCAAAGTCAAAGACAACTTTCGCTCTATCCACTCTCACTGTACACATTCAATCAGTCACAAATATGGTAAATATGGTACCAAATCTTGGTTCATTTTGGTGCCTCATTTTGGTACCCCCACCCCCTCACCCTTATCTAATCTGGGCTTGTATTGGCATATACAGGCTGGTTGTGGGAGTCTACGTACACGTTCTGCTCCTCTCTGTCTGGGGTGATTCTCCCATTGTGTTGCGGTTTCTCATTGACGGTACTACGTAGGGTCAGTTGGGTGCTACGGAAGGTCAGCCGGCGCAAGTGACCGCTGCATGGGCCGAAGCGACACGTGACCTGCCGGAACATTTCCCGGAAGCGGGTTGACATGAGGCTGTAGAGGATGGGGTTGACCGCCGAGCTGAGGTAGAAGAAGACCCCGGAGACGATGTGGACGTACTCGAAGACCAGGTGGTGGTGGCCAGTCCAGGAGTTTATGAAGCTCCACATGAGGCGGTCAATGTGGAAAGGAGCCCAGCAGATGCCGAAGACGATCACCAGTACGCCTGGTGGAAAGATGGACAGTTAGATGGACGGATGGATGGACAGAAAGACAGACAGACGGACAAACAGGCAAGCAGACAGACGGACAGAGGGGCAGGTAGGCACTCAGACAGACAGAGAAGCAGACAGACAGGCAAGCGGACGGGCTGATAGACAGGCAGACAGACAGACAGAAGAAAATACATTTGCAGACATTGAGATCAAGACATGTTTAAGTGACAATTAACATGTATAGAAATATTTTGGTTTGTATTTCAGCACAGAATTATAAGTCCCAATTCAAAAGAGATCGGTCTAGAATTTGGCACTTTCCAGGACATCTTCAGAAAGCAAGAGCAATATTTAAGTAACAATGGACATGTTTAGGAACAAATCTTTCAGTTTGTACTTCAGAAAATAGCTTTAAAGCCCAATTCAATGGAGATATCAGTCTATAATCTGTCATTTCCGGGACATCTCCTCTCAACCCTTCTGGTACTGTAGAGAAAGTGGGCGAGGACTTACACAGCATCTTGCTAATTGAAAGAGTTTTAAATTACAATTGAATATAGATATACAGTAGGTCTATAATCTGCACATGTCCAGGACATTCTGGTACTATAGAGACAGTGGATGAGAAACTCACATAGCATTTTGGTGACCTGTCGGTGGCGTGCCGTCTGCTGCTGCCTGTGGACGCTGCCGTGGCTGTCAGGACCAAAACCCGGCCCGGCCCCCACCCCCTGCATGCCCCTCTTCATCCTCAACTGCAGGCCAATGCGCAGGTACAGCCCGGTAATGGTGAGCATAGGCAGCAGAAAGAACACTAGCGTGGTCACCTGGATAATCAGGTTGTACATCCACCGGGGCTTCACAATCGTGCAGATGGCCGACTCGGGGAATTGGCTCCCGAACCGGGGCCCCAGCACTGCCACCCCGTGGAGGCTGGTGTTGGGCACGGCGCACGCCATGGACATGGCCCACAGCGTCAGGATGACGTGCTTGGCATGGGCATGAGTGGCGACGTGCTTGACCTTGAGCGGGTGTATCACGGCGATGTAGCGCTCCACGCTCAGCGCGGTTACAATGAGGATGGACGCAAAGCAGACCGTCTCGAACAGGAAGGTCTTGAAGTAGCAGCCGCCAGCACCGAACAGGAATGGGTAGTTGCTCCACATCTCGTAGAGTTCCAATGGCATACCCAGCAGTAGGACTAATAAATCGGACACGGCCAGACTGAACAGGTAGTAGTTGGTTGGCGTCCGCATCACCTTGTTGCGCAGGATGACGGTGCAGGTGAGCATGTTCCCTAACACTCCCACAATGAAGATAATGAGGAAGGTAATGCAGACAGGCAGGAACATGGGTGACCGCCGGAAGCCTAGAAACTTCTCCAGGTACTGACTCCGACTCAGGCACATGTCCTCCATGTCATCAGCACTGACGTTGCCCAGGGCCCTTGGAGGCATTCCAACCCAGCTGGTCAGGAGTGGTGGCAGGTAGACCCAGAGAGGAACAGTTATACTGAGCCATTGTGGTTTATGGGGACACAACACCTGAGGGGGAGAATGGAAATAATGAATGGAAAGAATAGAAACGGAAGGTTTTGCTTGTCTCAGTGTAGGTGACAGTTAGTTTAACTGCAGTCTGAACTAACAACATTTAGCAGTTTTTGAATAACCTTGTTGATATTTGCCTGCAGCAAATGTGAATGAGCGCTTTGAGACGGATTGAAATGGATGTCACATACAGTCAGGTCAAAAATAATTGGCACCCTTGATAAAGATGAGCAAAAAAATCCAGTATAAAATAAATAACACATACTTAGCTATATTGTATGCTCAAATACAAGTTTCACAAGTAATATATATATTTCTAAAGAAGGTTCAAAATTATTGGCACCCCTGTTTTATGAGATTGGAGAACACATTGGGAGGGATCTTAGACCATTCCACCATACAGATACTTGATAGATTTTGTCTGCGCTTATGGACTGCCCTCTTCAATTCAAACAACAGGTTTTCAAAGGGGCTCATGTCCGGAGACTGAGATGGCCATTGCAAAATGTTGATTTTGTGGTCAATTAACCATTTCTTTGTGGATTTTGATGTGTGATTGGATTCAGCCTCCTGGCAGAGGCAACCAGGTTTTTGACTAAATTGTCCTGGTACTGGTTAAAGTTCATGATGTCGTTGACCTTAACAAGGGCTCCAGGATCAGTGGAAGCAAAATAGCCCCATAACATCAACGATCCACCATCATATTTTACAGTAGGTATGAGTAGGGTTGCAAAATTACGGGAACTTTCAATAAATTCCCTGGTTTTCCAGAAATCCTGGTTGGAGGCTTCCCGGAATCAGGAAGGAATAATCGGGAAAACCAGGGATGAAGTACGTTTTTGCATATGCTTCCGTTTTTTGACGCCAAACCCACCACTGGTGGGCATGGCCAAAGAGCTCTATTTTCATGTCATCTGACCATGGCACCGCCTGGTTGCTAAATGGCATTGGCACTTGGATTGGAAACCGGTGATATGGTCAGATGACATGAAAATAGAGCTCTTTGGCCACCCACACCAGTGGCATATGCAGAAAAGTACCTCATACCTACTTTAAACTATGGTGGTGGATATTTTATGTTATGGGGATATTTTGCTCCCGCTGGTCTTGAGGCCCTTGTTAAGGTCAACGACATCATGAACTTTACCAGGACATTTTAGCCCAAAACCCGGTTGCTTCTGTCAGGAGGGTGAAACTTGGCCGCAAATGGATCTCCAATCTTATAAAACATTTTAGAAAAAGGCTCAGTGTCGTTATCCTCGCAAGGGGAGGGTGCTGAATTATTGAAAACAGGGGTGCCAATAATTTTGACCCCTGTCTTTTTAGATTTTATTTTATTACTAGTTAAACAAAATCTCCTCCTCTGAGCAATTGTATTAGTATAAAATAATGTAATTTTCTAATTTTTGGGATAATACAATATAGCTCAGTATTTGTATTACTTATTTTATACAGTCTGTTTTTGCTCATCTTTATCAAGGGTGTCAATAATTATGGACCTGACTGTAAATATGCTTTCAGTGGCTGTGCCATATGCTGCAGATGTCCTCACATTACATTTACTTAGTCAGATGTGGACAGACAGGTTAATAATTGCGATAATTATGATTCCTCCATATTTGATTCTTAATAATAATAGCAATAATAATAATACATACACACTTTTCATTGAAAGACAATCAAAGTACTACAGTCAGTGCATTGAAATTGTCACGCCCTGACTCAGGGGACGCTTATATGTTGAGTCAGGGTGTGTATATTCCTTGTTGTGCTTTTTCTATGTGTGGGATCTAGTATGTATATTTCTATGTTGGCCGGTGTGGTTCCCAATCAGAGGCAGCTGTCGCTCGTTGTCTCTGAGTGGGGACCATACTTAGGCAGCCTATTGGCACTGTCATGTTGTGGGATCTTGTTAAGGTATGTTGTGTGTGCTACCTTGGACTTCATGTTTCGTTTCCTTTGTTGTGTGTTTATTAAGTTCAATAAACATGTACGCATATCACGCTGCGCCTTGGTCTGACCCGTCATTCAACGAACGTGACAGAAATAAATAAAAATAAGAGACAAGGGCAAAATAAGGACGCAACTAGACAGGGACACTGACACCATGATGCTACAAGGGGCACAGCTATCAACAAAAGGCCTTGTTGCCCATAATATACAGTAGTTTGAAATTGATTGAATTTAGGCGCTGTCATTGTATTTTCCTCTTGTGAGGATTCAACCAAGTGAGATTGATTTTTTTCCTTCTGATTTCCTGGTCTGTGGCATCAAGGTAGACCCTTTTCATGTGTGAATGGGTAAATACATCTCGTCTCACTAATACCTCTTTGCTAACACATATTGAAAAATGTAATACAGGTGGTTCAGTGAACCAAGATCACATGATGGTTTACCTTGCCTAAGACCTGAAGACTTGTGTTGGCTTGCAGGAGACCTCGGTTACATTGGTGGCATGATCTGGTTCAGTGTTAGCCCACTAAGCTAAAACCACGGTATTAGCTCAGGGAGCTAATGCAAGTCTTCAGGTCCCAGACAAGGTAACTCATCACATGAGCTTGTTTCACAAAACTACCTCTGTTATGTAAATGTGGGTGAATCGAATCAATATTCACAGAAAGATCAACAGGGGTTTCCCATTCCAAAATTGGCATCCAAGCACATAATAATATGCTAATGCACAGCTCTGTTGCACAGAGAGGCATGATGTCACGTTCGTTTAAGGACGGGTCAGACCAAGGCGCAGCGTGAAATGCGTACATGTTTATTTCACCGATAAACACACTAACAAACCGTGAAGTCCTAAAGCTAAACACAAAACAAGCCTACTCACGGAACAAGATCCCACCACTAATGCACGCCAACAGGCTGCCTAAGTATGATCCCCTATCAGAGACAACGAGCGACAGCTGTCTCTGATTGGGAATCACACCTGGCCTAACATAGATATACAACACCTAAACTGAAACATAGAAAACACAACATAGAATATTCACACCCTGACTCAACATATAAGAGTCCCCTGAGTCAGGGCGTGATACATGAACAATGTCAACCTGTGATAATTCATTAAAATGTTCTAAACAAAGGAAAAGTGTCCAAAATAGATTTTGTTTCTCTGAATTACCAATATTAATTATAGTAATTATAATAATAATAACATTGAATCATGCAGTAACCTTTACTCAATGGTGGAAAACGTACATGTCATACTTGAGTAAAAGTAAAGATACCTTAATAGATACCTTAATAACAATGACACCCAATAAAATACTACTTTAGTAAAAGTCTAAAAGTATTTGTTTTTAAGTATTCTTAAGTATCAAAAGTAAATGTAATTGCAAAAATATACTTAAGTATCAAAAGTAAAAGTATAAATCATTTCAAATTGCTTTTATTAAGCAGACCAGACAGCACTATTCATTTGTATTCTTTAAAAAAAATACGGATTGCCAGGGTGTCACGACTTCTTCCGAAGCTGCCTCATCTCCTTGTTCGGGCAGGTTTCGGCGTTCGTCGTCACCGGCTTTCTAGCCACTGCCGCATCTCATCTCATCATTCCATTTGTTTTGTCTTGTCTATTACACACCTGGTTCATATCCCCTCATTAGTACTTGTATAAGTGTTCCCTCTGCCCCCTTGTCCTTGTGGGTGATTGTTTAATGTGAGGAGAGAGTAGCTCGGTTGAGCTACGTGTATTTTGTATTGCCGGGGTATATTTTCCCAGTGTGCCTGTTTTTGTTTCAGTGCGCCTGTTTTGCACACTGGACTGTTTGACCCTATCCAGAGTAACTCTGTACTATGGAATAAACTCTGTATTCTGTGATTTACCCTCCTGCACCTGACTCCTTCAAATCACCTATCACACAGGGGCACATTCCAACATTTAGAAAAAATGAAGCAGTTGTGTTTAGTGTGTACTTCAGATCAGAGGCAGTCAGGATGACCAGCGATGTGCTCTTGATAAGTGCATGAATTGGACAATTTTCCTGTCCTGCTAAACATTAAAAATGTAATGAATGCTTTTGGGTGTCAGGGAAATGTATGGAATAAAAAGTACATTATTTTCTTTAGGAATATAGTAAATTAAAACTTGTCAAAAATATAAATGGTAAAGTAAAGTGCATGTACCCCAAAAAACGACTTTACTTACTTTACACCACTGCCTTTACTGTTTAAATATTGGACTCTATACTGTCATGCAGCAAACCAGCCATGGATACAGCTGCATTAACCCCCACAGCTTGGCTAAACTACTGAGACTAACTCAAACCAACCAACTACTACACTCCCCCATCCAAATTCATATCAACTTCAAGGTTATTAGCTATTGGAGGTATTAAAATATATACTGTACCAGTCAAGTTTGGACACATCTACTCATTCAAGGGTTTTTCTTTATTTTTACTATTTTCTACATTGTAGAATAATAGTGAAGACATCAAAACTATGAAATAACACATATGGAATCATGTAGTAACCAAAAAAGTGTTAAACAAATCAAAATACACTACCGTTCAAAAGTTTGGGGTCACTTAGAAATGTCCTTGTTTTCTAAAGAAAAGCCATTTCTTTGTCCATTAAAATAACATCAAATTGATCAGAAATACAGTGTAGACATTGTTAATGTTGTAAATGGCTATTGTAGCTGGAAACTGCTGATTTTTTTTGGGATTGAATATCTACATAGGCATACAGAGGCCCATTATCAGCAACCATCAGTCCTGTGTTCCAATGGCACGTTGTGTTTGCTAATCCACGTTTATCATTTTAAAAGGCTAATTGATCATTAGAAAACCCTTTTGCAATTATGTTAGCATAGCTGAAAACTGTTGTGCTGATTAAAGAAGCAATAAAACTGGCCTTCTTGAGACTAGTTGAGTATCTGGAGCATCAGCAATTGTGGGTTCGATTACAGGCTCAAAATGGCCAGAAACAAATGACTTTCTTCTGAAACTCATCAGTCTATTCTTGTTCTGAGAAATGAAGGCTATTCC